CGGCCCACGTGCAGGGCCGGGTGACTCGCACGGGTCCGGCCCGGTGCGCCAAGCCAGCCGGGGCAGGAGAAGCTCCTCCCTGCTTATGCAATGCAGGGCTCGGTGTCCAGAACGCGCTGCCCGGTGGGTCCGGCTAGCGCCGGGGAGACGCCAGGCTGCGATGGGGAGGCGGGCGCGGCGGCCTGTCTGGACCCATCCGTAGTGCCGGGATGACTCAGTCGGGCTTTCTGATCCTGGCGCAGAGCCTGCCCCTGCCCCAGCCCCGGGGGCACCGTGGGGAGAGGCTGCTTGCTGGGGGGGGCCAGCGCTTGGGAGCGGGGGCTGCGCTGCCAGTGCTGGGGCAGGCACCAGCACCCACCTTCGGCCTAGTCCGGCCTGGGTGTGTCCAGGGCAGGCGGGCTGCCCACGGGTGGCGGTGGCTCGAGGGGGGGTGCACACCCGTGACGCCCTCCCCCGCGCTGGGAGGAGAAGGCAGTTAGCAGCATCAGGCCTGGAGAGACCGAAGCGAAGCTCGTCTGTCTCCCCGGGACCAGAGCCGCCCGTGTGCCCGGCCGGGCTGGGGTTGGAGCCGGAGTGACCCGAGACGCGGAGCGAAGCCCTTGCTGCTGCTCTGCCCTCACCTCCTCGTCCTGGGGCCCGTGAGTCACTTCCCCCTTTCTTTGCTGCTCGTCCAGGTCTTGGAGGGGGCTCACGTGTGCCCACCCCGGCGGCAAGGCCCGTGCGCCCCGTCGCGGGATGTGCACGGGCTACGTGTGGCGTTCCCGGGCGAGTCTCCCCAGAGCCAGCCGCAGAGGCTGCAGGAGCCATTTGTCTGCGTTCGCTGCCATGTGCAATTAGGCTGGTATGAAGCAGAGACGCTCCATGCCAGAGGGCGTGGCGGCCTGGCCGGGGCTCCCACCAGGCGCTGCATGGCCCAGCCGGGCGCGCAGGGAAGGGGTCTGGGTCCGGGCAGGGTCTCTGGCCACCCTGAGCCCCCTCCAGCAAGGAAGACCCATGTCTGTGTTGGAGCTGAGCTGCAGGGGTGGGCACGCAGCTCCCTGGGCTCTCGCCGCCCCCGAGCGCATTTCCAGTGGCAGCTGGGGCGGGCAGCTGCCTGGCATCGCCTTTGCCAGGCCCCTGCCCTGGGCTGTGAAGGGGTGGCGGAGGGGGGGACCTGCAATGCCAACACCTGCCGTCGTGTGCCCCTGCATGGGCAGGGACCTCCCCAGCTGCGTCTCTGCAGCTCTGCCCTCTCCCCAGCTCAGAGGCTGCAGCCTGCGGGTACCCAGCCTGGCTTTGCGGCACTCCCAGCTCCACGACACGGCTGGGCAAGAAGCTTTGGGCTTCTCGATGCATGTGGTGGCTGCAAAACCAGGGAGTAAATGTTGCCTGGGGTGGGGGGTCAGGTCAGAGCAGAGCCCCCTCCACCCCGCCCGTCTCCGACGGCTGCCGGGATAGAGCCGGGTTGTGCAGTGGGGGGTCTCGGTGCTGCAGATCTTGGGGTTTGGGATGTGGCAGGGAGAGCCCGGTGTGCCTGGGCGCTGCGGGAGGAGATCCCAGGACTGGGGCAGAGTGGAGGGGACGTGTCTCAGGGCTGGGCTACGCCGGGGCGCTGCACAAGTGACCTGGGGCTGGGAGGCTCCTGGGTGCTGGCCTAGACCCGGACAATGCCCTCGTGGGGTGGTGCCGAGGTGTCGTCGAGCAGATGCCGCTGCGTCTTGGGCGTAGCGGAGGGGATGTGGCCAGGTCCCAGGGCTGGAGGCCCCCTGAGATGATGGGCGGGGGGGGAAGAAGGTGCGTGCACCCCACGGCTCGCTCCTTCCTCCCCCCCAGCCGGGGCCGAGCGCCGGCTGGGGATTTTCCGAGATTAGCCGGAGCCGCGGGCCCAGCCTGGCTCAGCAGATCCTTCCTTTGTGCGCTGACCTTTCTGGAGCCCGGGCTTGGGCTGGCGTCGGGCATCGGGCCCTGCGGGCACGGCAGCGATTTAGCCGCGTCCAGCAGGCCCGGGCGGATGCTGGGCCAGCTCCTGTGCTGTGGGTGCGGGGCCCCTTGTGCAGAGGGTGGGAGAGGCGGTCTGCTGCGGATCCGTGCAGGGGGGACAGGGATGGTCGCGGTGTGGGCGAGAGCAGCCCCCAGAGCAAACCACCCCTGTGGCCTCTCCTCCCTGGAGGTTGTGAAACCGGCTCTTGGCGAATGCCTCGGACTGGCTGGGATCACAAGGCCCCGCTCAGAAATGCGGCTGCCTCTGGGGTGGGGCGGGGCAGCTATGCAGCAAGACTGCCTGGGCCTGGGGAAGGGGGAGGACAGGGTGACTCCCGCGGGGAGGGCTTCCTCCAAAGGGCTGTCCAGTGCGGTGCTGGGGTCCCGCCAGGCCAGTGCAAGACGAGGAGCTGCAGCTGCAATGCAGACTGGCGGCAGCAGCGTGCACCCCAACTGGGCCTCCCCCCCCCCCCCCATATCGCACGAGCAGACGGGGTGTACTGGAGGCCCGCGTGAAAAGAGCCCCCGCCCTGGTTTTTCTGGCTGGACGAGGGGTCGGGCGTGTGTCCTGTCCTGGGGAGCAGGCAGGGGAGCTTTGCCCCAGGGGGCAGCCTCCCCCTGCCACCTCGAGGGGCCCCGTAGGGCGCGAAGAGGCGGCTAAAAATACAGGGCGAGGAGCACGCGGCTAACCTGAGAATAGCAGCAGCTGGCCGGGGTTGCATTGCATTGCTTGCATTGCTGGCCGGGTCGCTGGCCGTGGTTTCCCCTTTCCGGGGGGTGGCGGGGGGTGGCAGCTTGTGGGGGTGGGATCCTTGCCCTTGCTGCCGCCTTCCCTCTTGCCCAGGCTGGGGGATTTGAGGGTCTCTCCTTGGTGGGAGCTGCGGGGAGAGGCCCCAATCCCGCTGGCACGCCCCACTGCTTGTGCTGCCACGTTGGAGGCAACGCGGAGGTGCAAACCCCGGCCCCGGTGTGGGTGCAAGGGCCAGCAGCTCCCCCTGCGCGCGCTGGGGCTGCGAGCTCGAGGCAGCCGCTGGGGTGGGGCAGGGAGGAAGGAAGGGAGGGTGGAGCTGGGGGGGCCCCAGCTGCAGGGCTGACCCGGCAGTCCGGTTCCTTCCCTACCCCCACCGACAGCCCTTGCTTGGGGACCTGGCCAGGAGGCATCCCAGGCTTTTGTCCCTGGGCCCGGTGCCTCTCCCTTTGTTCACACACGGCTCTCCCGGGCGCTGAGTCACCCGGCAGCACCCTCCGCGCCCAGCCCGCGGGGCTCCGCTGCCCCGCCTGACTCACCAGCCGGGTGGCTTTGCCCTGGGGATGGGCAGCGCCCCCGTCTTCGGGTGCTGCCGGACCTAACCTCTGTCCCCGTCCCACCGGGACAGGGTGCCCCACGGCCCCGATGCCCCCGCTGTTGAGGACGGGCCTGTCGGGGCTCCCGGCAGGGCAGGAAGGAGCCCGCGTGGGGGGCAGAGGAGCGTGGCGGGGGCAGCCGTTGTTGGCATTTGCAGGGCTGCGGCGGGAAGGCAGCAATGCGAGGCCCTTGCGGGGAGCTGGGTGCCCCATGAGAAGCCAGGAGGCTGCTTTGGAGCAGGGCACAGACCCGAGCTGTGGGTTTGCCAAAGCAAAGCGCAGCCCCCAGGAGCCTTGATGTACGTGGTTCCCCGTCCCGGAAAGCCTTTTGCAAAGCCTGGCAGGGCCCCGCTGGGGCTGCGGTTTCACCTCGACCCTGGCCTGGGCACGGGGCTGGAGGTGGAGGGCACGGTCTGTGCCGGGTGGCGGGGCGGGTCCGGCGACGCGGGGTTGGAGCACGGGACGGTTCGACGCCTACTCCTTTCCCAGGCGAGCGCGTGCGGCCCTGGGCTGGGGCTCGCTTTTAAGGGCGAAGGCAGGTGCAGAGACGGGGACCGGTGCATTGGGCCCCCTGGCGCCCCGCGTGACCTGAAACTCCCTTGCCGCCTGCGTGGCCCCCGGGCCGGGACCCTCCGTACTTTTGACTTTGCGCCCCCCCTGGTTTGTGTCGGGAGCCGACCCATCCCCGGTGCCCGGCCGGGCCTCCCCTTCTCTCCCCACCGCCGGCCGTGGACGCGATTGGGTTTCAGCAGGGACCTGGAGCTGCCGCAATGGAAACATGGTTTTGCCTCCCGAGCTGGGGAGAGGAAAGGCAAGGCGGAGCTGCCTGCGTGGGTGGGTGCCTGCAGACGGGTCCCGCGGAGGAGTGCCGCCCTCTGGCGATGAGCGAGGGGCTCGCCAGCCCCTGCAGCGTGTCAGGAAACCCCCTTTTCCTCTGCCCCCCCCCAAAAAAAACAACTACCCCGCCCTCCCCGCAAAGGGTGTCTAGGGGGACACGATCCCTTGCAGCAAGGGCAGTGCTTGGCAGAGGGGCCCGGAGCAGGCCGGGTGCCCCCACGCCCCGGCGGGACCCTCACGTTCTCTGGCCCGTGCCAGGCCTCGCTATCTGCGCCCGGGGGTTTTCGGGTTGGCGGGGGTGCCGCGCTGCGGGCAAAGAGGCCGCAGCATTCAAACCACCCAGAGCGTTTCCTTCCTGCCTGGGTTTCAAGTCGTTTCAAGTGCTACCAGCAGGCAAAGCTCCTGGGTTTGCACGGGCTTTCCTCGCCTCCAACCCACCTGGCCCCGTTACACCCCGAGGCAAAGCTGCCACTGACCGCGGCGGGCGCGGGTCCCCCCAGTTGGCCGCGGGCGTTCAGGGCTGTATTTAACGTAAAACGACGGGGCGTGGGGGGTGGTGTCTGCGGCCCCCTTCGCACCCTGATGAGGAACAGTTCAGTAACAGACCTGTGCTGTTAGGACATGCCATACAGTTATGGAATTATATCATTATAGCACATCAATTATCATTACATCATTGTAACGCAGCGTGTCATTATAACATGGAGACGTAATAATAACAGCGTACAACTGCTATTCCTAATCACAGAACTCCAATAATAATACTAACGATGCAATCAATAAGAATAATAATACTACTACTGCCATTATCAGTGCTATTCTTCTGATCGATTGCAATGTAATCGATGTGGTGTTCAGGGATGATTAAGAAGGGAACTTCCCCTTTACCGATCCCGGCCCGGTTCTGGTCCCCGCAGCTCTGAAAGGAGACAGGGTGACAAGGATGACCCGTGGTCTGGAGGGGTTTCCCTGTGAGGCGAGCCTAACGAGGCCTCTTCTGATTAGAAGAGAGATGCTGGAGGGGGGGGCACATACATGACAAGGCTCTACGGAAAACTCAGTGGGGAAGAGAAAGTCGGTAGGGATTCATTGTTGACCGTCTCTCACCAGACAAGAACGAGGGGTCGATGTGAAACAGGTAGGCAGTCAGTCGAAAACGAACACCGGGCACTTCTTTTCCCCCCCAGCGCAGAGTAAAAGCGTGGGGCTCGTTATCACGGGACAGGGGGAAGCTGGCAGCGTAGCCGGATGCACCAAGGGAGCGGCCGCTTGCTTGGAGGAAAGGGGCACCGGTAGCTACGGGGCACGGCAGCGAGGGGCGCGGCCCCCGCTTCACCACTGCCTGCACCCTCGATGCCGGAGGCTGCAAGTGGGAGTCGAACTCGGACCCTGGTCACTCCCCTACAGTACAGGCCCCGCTCTCTGCCCGCCGCGGGGCACGGGAGACCGGTCCAGACGGACGTAGGGCCTGACCCAGGAAATTGCCGCGCTCATATTCTGATGATGTTGGATGCTAATTGTGCATCGCCACGGCAAGATTTGACTCTTAGAGCTTTTCAGCTGGGTGCTGGTGTGGTCTTACTTAAGTGCCAAGTGCTGGGACTGCAGTCACCCCAAATCCAGGAAGCCTTTTGGGCAGAGCTGGGATGCCTGCTCTGGGAAGGGAGCGGGGGCCGGCAGGGGAGGGCAGTGGGGGCTGAGGGTGAGAGCAGGCTTTGTGGGGGTCGTCCTTTGCAGACGCAGACAAAGCGATGCGCTCGTGCACGCCCCGCCAGCACGGGGTGCTTCATGCCCCCCAGCACGGGGTGCTTGACTCTGGACTCCGATTTCTCTGCCAGGCTGGGAAACTGCACCGAAGATCACCGAAGGATAAGCAAGTGAAAAGAGAGGAGTTCCTGGGGCGGTTCCAGCCCGGACCAGAGTCCCTGAAAGGTCAGTGGAGCCGGCCGGGTCCCACCAGCTCCGTTGCAGATCCCGTCCTCGACAGGGCGTGGTCTGTGCTTTCTCCGTGACTCACTTTGCCCGCTCCCGTCTGGGCGGAGGCCAACTCTGAGCATGGGCCAGCCTGCAGCCTGGGAGACCTCTGCTGGGGGGGGGATCCTTCCCTCCCCTGCACACAAAGGAGCATTTCTGCTTCCTTGGAGCATGCCTGTGCCTGCCTGGCGCAGCCTGCCCGAGGGCCCAGACTCCTCGCCGTCCCGCTGGGGCACCCCTGCCACCCCTCTTTATCTCGCGGTCCCTCTGCATCCTCTTAGCTTCCAGCTGGGGCCTCACGGGGAAGCGACGTGGCCAAGCGCCAGCGCACCAATGCCAGCCGCCTCCCCACAGCGAGTGCTGGAGACGTGGAGCAGCTGGTCGCACGTGCCGGGATCCCTCCAGGCCATCTCCACGGGCCTGGGTGCTTTGTCCCGTGGGGGCTTTTATTTTGTCTGGAGAAGTACAAGAGAAGCCAAAGGAAGTTCCTTCCGACTCTTCCCCAGTTAATTGGGCATGTCACGCACCGGTTTATTGTAGACTGGTAACCACACCCTGGTTGCTTGGGATCTCCTCAATCAGGCACCATGACCCAGAGCAGCTACATCCAGCAGACAATACACCGAGGTCCTCCCTGCCGGGTGGGGAGCGCTCAGGCCCCTCCGAGTCCGTCCTCGTGGTCGAGGCGAGCTCCAGATTCCCACCCGGAAGAGGTTTACACGGTTCAGGTTCAGATGCCTGCGCTCCTGCCCGTTTCATAGTTCGTGGTTGTTCGGGGCTGGAAGGGACCTTGCAGACCACCCGGTCCAGCCCCGCCGCGCTGGGGCAGGAAAGCTCTGGGCCAGCGGGGCAGGGAAACCGAGTCACAGCCTGTGGCCACTGGCCCGTTTCTCTGCAAGAACGATCTTTTGGCCACAGGGAAACTGAGTCACGACCCGTGCTCTTCCCTGGGGTCGCCTCATAGCTTTGGGCGTGATCGCCAGCCCACACATCTCAGTTCCCGGGAAACTGTCCCGCACCATCCGCCGTCCCTCGCACGTTGATCATCCAGATTGACCCGCTCCTGGGATCAATGTCTGTGCGGAGGAGGGATGTCGGGACACCCCCAGCAGAGCAACGAGCGGGGAGGGGGTGCTCAGGACCCCCCGACAGGTGTCCGCCCAGGCACAGCGGACTCCCCAGGCTCTGGCCCACAGTGGCTGCCAGCCGTGCTTCTCACCCCGGTGCCTTCCTGTGTTTCACCCTCCAGATGGAGCAGAAAGAGGAAGAAACGCGGGAGATCCTGCTCCCCAACTGGCAAGGCAGCGGCTCCCACGGCATCACCCTCGACCAGACGGACGAGGGTGTCTTCGTGAAGCAGGTGGTGCAGAACTCCCCCGCGGCCAAGACCGGCGCCGTGAAGGAGGGTGAGCGTCCTCTCCCCGCGTTTCTGCCTTTCCGTAGGACTTCCCTGCCATTGCAACCTCCTGCTCCTGTGCTGGGTCGGCAGCGGAGCACGTCGAGCCCCTGAGACAGCCGAGCCCGAAGCCTTCCAGCCTGGCTTTTTTAGACTCGTTAAGACTCTAGGTCCCCTGGGAAAACGCCCGCTCTTAGTTTTCGCTCCTCTCTTTTTGGAGGACAGCAACGTACTATAGCAATTCATGGAAGTACTGGAGCAAGTCTCCTGCTGCAAAGAGCTCAGAAAGACCAGACCAGGTCCGAGTGGTTTTTTAACACCGTGGATTTCTACGGGACACCTCTGGGCTGGTCTTGTGAAGGGTGCTGGCCGTGTGTGGCACCCTTGAGAGTTGCCACAGCCCCCAGGTTGAGAATCACTGGTCTGAACAGAGGCCCTGAGAAGGGAAGGGAAGGGAAGGGAAGGGAAAGGCAGCAGCAGAAGTGGGGATTGAACCCAGGACCCCCGGTGCCCTGCCCACCGAGCAGCACAGGCTGCCCAGGAGAGGCAGCGATGCCCTCCCTGCCGTGCCCTGCTCCTGGCAGGGGTGTTCGCTCACGGCCAGCCCCTTCTGGCATTGCAGCTGTTGGTGCTTCCAGGCGCGGCAAGGACCGAGCACTTGTGGTCTGACCCCGGCCCCCCGGGCCAATGCAACCTGGCGTCACCCCTCCCTCCTTGCACCCACAGGAGATCAGATTGTGAGCGCCACAGTCTACTTCGACAACCTGCAGTCTGGGGAGGTCTCGCAGCTCCTGAAAACCATGGGCCACCACACCGTGGGGCTGCGGCTACAGCGGAAGGGGGACAGGTCCCCGCTGCCGGGACAGTCCTGGTCACACGATGTCTTCACGCACAGCGGTCCAGAGGTGGTTCTGGTGAGCGACAGCGACACGCCAGCTCTGGCTTGGCGGGAGGGGAGGGGAGGGGCGGGGAGGGCGAGTAGGGAGCAGCCCCTGGGTCCTGCAGCCTTTCCTGTACGGACCCCGGAGCCGCCGTCGTCAGGGCCAAGGAGGTGCCGTGAGGCTGCGGAGAGGATTTGCAGGGAGATGCCGGCCAGCCCTGCCTGGCCTGAGACTGCTAGCCACCCGCCACGGCCAGAAAGCAGCTGGCAGGGCTGAGCCAGGCTGGGCGGAGACCCTGGGAACGGAGCTGAGTTAGCATTTCTGAGAGGCAAACTTGGCCGGCAGCTCTGGGCATCTCTGGCCAAGGCTGGCGGGGCCATTGCCGCACGGAGATGCCCCTAGAAGCGAGCCGTGGCCAGCGCGTGGCACTGCATTGATTCAGTGCAGTGCACGGAGCCCTCTTTCCCCTCCAAGCTGCAGTCACCAGGAGAAAGGAAAGGCAGAGGTTAGGGTGAGGATTAGGACCCCTGGTGCTAATAAATGCCTTTCATTCCTAGAGTGGAGACGACGAGGAATACCAACGGATTTACACCACGAAAATCAAGCCACGGCTGAAGTCGGAGGATGCAGCAGAGGCTGAGAAGGCCGGGACGCAAAGCAGGACCATCACCGTCACCAAGAAGGTCACAGCGTACACTGTGGATGTCACGGGGCCCGAAGGAGCCAAGGACATCGATGTCACAAGCCCGGAGTTTAAAATCAAGATGCCGAGGCATGAATTCACCCACGTCACGAGAACTACAGAGTATGAAACGGAGGTGGGGAGGCCCACGGTCAAAATCCCAGCTGTGGACTTGCATGGGAGGACGGTCCAAGCCACAGACCTCAGCGCGGGCGTCCGAAGGGGCGCTCCTGGCATCTCCTGCTCCAGGCCAACGGTGGAGGTATCTGCCGGGAAGCTGGATGTGGGTGCCCCCGGCAGCCATGTGGGAAGACCTGACATCAGCGTATCAGGACCCCACGTCACAGGCGCGCAGCTGAGAACTCACACGGGCTTTCACGCCCCAGACAGCCACGTTCCAGGGACGGAAGCAGGAAAATCAGTGACGGTGGAAGTCCCCGGGTTTCATGTCTCTGGCGCCAGGTTCCCGGCCTCTGAGGTCCGCTCCCCTGGGATGGATGGGACAGACCCCGCGGGACCCCTAGATGCAGGGTTTCACGTGAGGGGCGGTCAAACAGGAGTTTCTGGCATTGATATTAAAGCACAAGTCCCGGGAGCCAAATTCCCACAGGTTGATGTCTCTGGTCCCAAGGCTGATCTATCGTTTCCCAAAACGAAGGGCTTTGGAGTTGATATTTCTGGCCCTCAGATCCGGGGGGATCTTGAACCTCCTCGGGTGGACGTTTCTGTTCCAGGAATCAAAGGTGCTGGGCAAGACCTCACGGGCCCAAGTATTAATGTTGAGAGCACTGGAAAAATAAACATGCCTGCCATGAAGATGCCCAAATTTGGATTTGCGGTTTCAGGCCCTGGTCTTGACGTCCAAATGCCACAGGCCGGGGCTGATCTGTCTGCGCCAAAGATACAGGCTCCTCAGGTCGATATTGCACCTTCCTCTGTTCACATTGAAGGTCCCAAATTGACGAGGCCTTCGGTGGAAGGGCCTAAAATATCAGGGCCACAGGTGGACGTGGATCTAAAAGGCCCTGGGCTAAGAGGAACTGTGCAGGTTCCCTCTCCAACACTAGGAGGTCCCAGTGTTGATATCAGAGGCCCCGAGGGCGACCTTGCTGCTGTTCCAGGGGCTGAAGGAAAAATAAAAATGCCCCAAATGAAATTCCCTAAATTCAGTGCATCGGGCCCGACTGTGGATGTGGCTCTTCCCAAAGGAGGGGTGGCAGTGACAGGACCCAAGGGAGATATTGGCACCCCTGGTCTGCACCTGGAAGGAGAATGGAAAGGTCCTAAACTAACGAAGCCTGAATTCCTTGCTCAGACACCGCAGATCTCCATGTCTGATGTGAACTTGAATCTGAAAGGCCCCAGTCTGCAGGGACGGAAGACAGATATTTCTGGGGGTCTGAAAGGACCTGCTATGGGCATCAAAGGCCCAAAGTTAGACCTTGAAGCTCCTGCCGTCAGCATCCAGCGTCCAGAAGGTCAACTCAAAGGGCCTGATGTGTCCCTGCCAGATGTGAATGTGAACCTGAAGGGGCCCAAGGTGAAGGGAGATATGGGTGTTTCCGTCCCCGGGATAACAGGTGACTTCAAAGGGCCTCAGGTTGACATCCAAGGTCCCAAAGTGGGAATAGACGCTCCTGCCATAGATATCAAAGGGCCGGAAGGACACCTGAAAGGCCCCAAATTTAAGGTGCCTGAAATGCATGCCAAGACCCCCCATATATCAATCCCTGACATTGACTTGAACCTGAAAGGCCCTAAACTGAAGGGGGATGTGGATGTTTCTGTTCCAAAGATAAAGGGTGACCTGAAAGCCCCTAGCATTGATGTCAAAGGTCCAAAGGTTGACATTGATGTCCCAGATGTGGACATTCATGGCCCAGAGGGCAGATTGAAGATGCCCAAAATGAAGATGCCTAAGTTTGGGGTGCCAGGCCTGAAAGGAGAGGGCCCTGATGTGGACATAACACTGCCAAAAGGGGAGGTGGAGATTTCTGGTCCAAAGGTCGACATTGCTGCTCCCAGCTTGGACATCAAAGGCCCAGAAGGAAAACTGAAAGGTCCCAAAATTACGATGCCAGAAATGCACGTCAAGGCACCAAAGATCTCCATGCCTGATGTTGATCTGGGTTTGAAGGGTCCTAAGGTCAAGGGGGATGTGGATATTTCTGTTCCAAAGGTTGAAGGTGACCTGAAAGGCCCCAGCATTGATATCAAGGGCCCGAAGGTTGACATTGATGTCCCAGACATGGACATTCATGGCCCAGAGGGCAAACTGAAGATGCCCAAAATGAAGATGCCCAAGTTTGGGATGCCAGGCCTGAAAGGGGAGGGCCCTGATGTGGAAATTTCTGGTCCAAAGGTCGACTTTGTTGCTCCCAGCGTGGACATTGAAGGCCCAGAGGGAAAAGTGAAAGGCCCCAAGTTTAAGATGCCTGAAATGCATGCCAAGACCCCCCATATATCAATCCCTGACATAGACTTGAACCTGAAAGGCCCTAAACTGAAGGGGGATGTGGATGTTTCTGTTCCAAAGATAAAGGGTGACCTGCAAGCCCCTGGCATCGATGTCAAAGGCCCAAAGGTTGACATTGATGTCCCAGATGTGGACATTCATGGCCCAGAGGGCAGATTGAAGATGCCCAAGCTGAAGATGCCCAAGTTTGGGGTGCCAGGTCTGAAAGGGGAGGGCCCTGATGTGGACATAACACTGCCAAAAGGGGAGGTGGAGATTTCTGGTCCAAAGGTTGACCTTGCTGCTCCCAGCTTGGACATTGAAGGTCCAGAAGGAAAACTGAAAGGCCCCAAGTTTAAGAAGGCCCAGAAGGAAAACTGAAAGGCCCCAAGTTTAAGATGCCTGAGCTAAATATCCAGGCCCCCAAAATCTCCATGCCAGATGCAGACCTTAGTTTGAAGGCACCTAAACTGAAGGGAAATGTGGATACTTCTGGTCTGAAGATGGAAGGTGATTTCAGAGGGCCCCAAGTGGATGTGGATGTTCCTGATGTGGATTTGGAGTGTCCAGAAGGCAAAGTAAAGGGCCCTAAATTTAAAATGCCCAAACTAAATATTAAGGCCCCTAAGATCTCTATGCCAGATGTGGACTTGAATCTGAAAGGACCTAAAGCAAGAGGAGGGATGGATGTTACTGTCCCAAAGATAGAAGGTGATTTGAAAGGACCTGAAATTGATATCAAGGGTCCAAAACTGGATGTGGAAGCACCTGACATGGACCTGGAGTGCCCTGAAGGAAAACTGAGAGGTCCGAAATTTAAGATGCCTGAAATGCATATCAAAGCCCCCAAAATCTCCATGCCAGATGTCGACCTGAATCTGAAAGCCCCAAAATTAAAAGGTGAGGTTGATATCTCTGCTCCTAAACTGGAAGGAGATTTGAAAGGGCCTGATATTGACATCAGGGGCCCCAAAGTAGACATTGATGCCCCAGAAATGGATATTCATGGCCCAGAAGGTAAATTCAAAATGCCCAAATTCAAAATGCCCAAAATTGGGATGCCTGGTTTCAAAGGAGAGGGACCTGATGTGGATGTGAAGCTTCCAAAAGGGGAGGTGGACGTCTCTGGTCCCAAGATAGACATTGGTGCCCCAGAGTTGGACATTGAAGGCCCAGAAGGAAAACTGCGAGGCCCCAAATTTAAGATGCCCGAGATGCACATCAAGGCTCCAAAAATCTCTATGCCAGACGTTGACTTAAACCTGAAAGGGCCCAAGCTGAAGGGGGACGTGGACGTTTCTGTCCCAAAAATAGAAGGTGACCTGAAGGGTCCCAGCATGGAGCTTCAGGGCCCCAAAGTGGACATTGACGCGCCAGATGTGGACATTCGTGGACCAGAGGGTAAATTCAAAATGCCTAAGTTCAAAATGCCCAAGTTTGGGATGCCTGGGTTCAAAGGGGAGGGGCCAGATGTGGATGTAAGTCTTCCTAAAGGGGAGGTGGATATTTCTGGGCCCAAGGTAGAGGTTGATGCCCCAGATGTGAACATCGAAGGTCCAGAGGGAAAAGTAAAAGGCCCCAAATTTAAGATGCCTGACATGCATTTCAGCGTTCCTAAAATCTCTATGCCAGATATAGACTTGAAGGGACCTAAAGTGAAGGGGGACATGGATGTTTCTGTCCCCAAAATAGAAGGCGACTTGAAAGGACCTGATGTTGACATTAAGGGTCCAAAATTGGACGTGGATGCTCCAGACCTTGAGATTGAAGGTCCTGAAGGGAAATGGAAAGGACCCAAATTCAAGATGCCTGAAATGCATATTAAGGCACCTAAAATGTCTATGCCTGATGTAGACTTTAATTTGAAAGGCCCCAAAATGAAGGGGGATGTGGATGTTTCAGCTCCAAAGATACACGGGGATTTGAAAGGCCCCAAGGTGGACATAGAGTGCCCTGATGTCGACATTGAGGGTCCTGAGGGAAAACTGAAAGGTCCCAAATTTAAGATGCCTGAAATGCATTTCAAGGCCCCCAAAATCTCCATGCCTGATGTTGATTTGAATTTGAAAGGTCCTAAATGGAAAGGGGGTGTGGATGTTTCCGCTCCCAAGTTAGAAGGGGATTTGAAAGCACCAGATATAGACATCAAGGGCCCCAAAGTAGATGTTGATATCCCTGATGTCGACATTGAGGGTCCAGAGGGAAAAATTAAAGGCCCCAAATTCAAGATGCCTGAAATGCATTTCAAAGCCCCTAAAATCTCAATGCCTGACTTTGACCTGAACCTGAAAGGGCCTAAAGTGAAGGGGGATGTGGATGTTTCTGTGCCCAAAGTGAAGGGAGATCTGAAAGGGCCAGAGGTGGATATCAAAGGCCCCAAACTGGACATTGATGCCCCTGATGTGGACCTGGAAGGCCCAGAAGGAAAGCTGAGGGGCCCCAAATTCAAGATACCTGAGATGCATTTCAAGGCCCCCAAAATCTCCATGCCCGATGTCGATTTGAATTTGAGAGGTCCAAAAGTGAAGGGGGGTGTGGATGTTTCTGCTCCCAAACTGGAAGGTGATCTGAAGGGTCCTGATGTCGATATCAGAGGCCCCAAAGTGGACATAGGGGTCCCAGACGTGGACATTGAAGGCCCAGAGGGGAAACTGAAAGGCCCCAAATTCAAGATGCCCGAGATGCATTTCAAAGCCCCCAAAATCTCGATGCCTGACTTTGACCTGAACCTGAAAGGGCCTAAAGTGAAGGGGGACGTGGATGTTTCTGTGCCCAAAGTGGAGGGAGACCTGAAGGGGCCGGAGGTGGATATCAAGGGCCCCAAACTGGACATTGATGTCCCTGATGTGAACTTGGAAGGCCCAGAAGGAAAGCTGAGGGGCCCCAAATTCAAGATGCCTGAGATGCATTTCAAGGCCCCCAAAATCTCCATGCCCGATGTTGACTTGAATTTGAGAGGTCCAAAACTGAAGGGGGATGTGGATGTTTCTGCTCCAAAGCTGGAGGGTGACTTGAAGGGTCCTGAGATTGACATCAGAGGCCCCAAAGTGGACATTGATGCCCCAGACGTGGATATTCATGGTCCAGAGGGGAAATTCAAGATGCCCAAGTTTAAGATGCCCAAATTTGGGATGCCTGGGTTCAAAGGGGAGGGGCCAGATGTGGATGTAAGCCTCCCGAAAGGGGAGGTGGATATTTCTGGTCCCAAAGTAGATATTGGGGGTCCCGATTTGGATATTGAAGGCCCGGAGGGAAAGCTCCGAGGTCCCAAATTTAAGATGCCTGAGATGCACATCAAGGCCCCCAAAATCTCCATGCCTGATATTGATTTGAATTTGAAAGGTCCTAAAGTGAAGGGGGGTGTGGATGTCTCTGCTCCCAAACTGGAAGGTGATTTGAAAGGCCCAGATGTGGACATCAAAGGCCCCAAAGTGGACATAGGGGTCCCAGACGTGGACATTGAAGGCCCAGAGGGGAAACTGAAAGGCCCCAAATTCAAGATGCCCGAGATGCATTTCAAAGCCCCCAAAATCTCGATGCCTGACTTTGACCTGAACCTGAAAGGGCCTAAGCTGAAGGGAGACATGGATGTTTCTGTGCCCAAAATGGGGGGAGACCTGAAGGGGCCGGAGGTGGATATCAAGGGCCCCAAACTGGACATTGATGTCCCTGATGTGGACTTGGAAGGCCCAGAGGGAAAGCTGAGGGGCCCCAAATTCAAGATGCCTGAGATGCATTTCAAGGCCCCCAAAATCTCCATGCCCGATGTTGACTTGAATTTGAGAGGTCCAAAACTGAAGGGGGATGTGGATGTTTCTGCTCCAAAGCTGGAGGGTGACTTGAAGGGTCCTGAGATTGACATCAAGGGCCCCAAAGTTGACATTGATGCTCCAGATTTGGAAATTCATGGTCCAGAAAGTAAATTCAAGATGCCCAAGTTTAAGATGCCCAAATTTGGGATGCCTGGGTTCAAAGGGGAGGGGCCAGATGTGGATGTAAGCCTCCCAAAAGCTGACATTGATATTTCTGGTCCCAAAGTAGACATTGAGGGTCCCGATTTGGATATTGAAGGCCCTGAGGGAAAGCTCCGAGGTCCCAAATTTAAGATGCCTGACATGCACATGAAGACCCCCAAAATCTCCATGCCTGACATTGATTTAAATTTGAAAGGTCCAAAACTGAAGGGAGATGTGGATGTTTCTGTTCCAAAGCTGGGGGGTGATTTGAAGGGGCCTGATATTGATATTAAAGGCCCCAAAATTGACATTGATGCTCCTGATGTGGATATTCATGGCCCAGAGGGGAAATTCAAAATGCCCAAATTCAAAATGCCCAAATTTGGGATGCCTGGGCTGAAAGGGGAGGGGCCAGACTTGGATGTAAGCCTCCCAAAAGGGGATATTGATATTTCCGGTCCCAAAGTAGACATTGAGGGTCCTGATTTGGATATTGAAGGCCCTGAGGGAAAGCTCCGAGGTCCCAAATTTAAGATGCCTGAAATGCATATCAAGACACCAAAGATCTCCATGCCTGATGTTGATTTGAATTTGAAAGGTCCAAAACTGAAGGGGGATGTGGAAGTGTCTGTTCCAAAGCTGGAGGGTGACTTGAAGGGTCCTGAGATTGACATCAAGGGCCCCAAAGTTGACATTGATGCTCCAGATTTGGAAATTCATGGTCCAGAAAGTAAATTCAAGATGCCCAAGTTTAAGATGCCCAAGTTTGGGATGCCTGGGCTCAAAGCAGAGGGGCTGGATGTGGATGTAAGCCTCCCGAAAGCTGACATTGATATTTCTGGTCCCAAAGTAGACATTGAGGGTCCCGATTTGGATATTGAAGGCCCGGAGGGAAAGCTCCGAGGTCCCAAATTTAAGATGCCTGAAATGCATATCAAGGCCCCCAAAATCTCCATGCCTGACATTGATTTGAATTTGAAGGGCCCTAAACTGAAGGGAGATGTTGATGTCTCAGCTCCAAAGATAGAGGGTGACTTGAAGGGGCCTGATTTTGACATCAAAGGCCCCAAAGTGGACATTGATGCCCCAGACGTGGATATTCATGGTCCAGAGGGGAGATTCAAGATGCCCAAGTTTAAGATGCCCAAATTTGGGATGCCTGGGTTCAAAGGGGAGGGGCCAGATGTGGATGTAAGCCTCCCGAAAGCTGACATTGATATTTCTGGTCCCAAAGTAGACATTGAGGGTCCTGATTTGGATATTGAAGGCCCGGAGGGAAAGCTCCGAGGTCCCAAATTTAAGATGCCTGAAATGCATATCAAGACACCAAAGATCTCCATGCCTGATGTTGATTTGAATTTGAAAGGCCCTAAACTGAAGGGAGATGTGGATGTTTCACTTCCCAAAATGGAGGGAGATTTGAAAGGGCCTGATATTGACATCAAGGGCCCCAAAGTTGACATTGATACTCCGGATGTGGATATTCATGGCCCTGAGGGGAAATTCAAAATGCCTAAGTTTAAGATGCCAAAGTTTGGGATGCCTGGGTTCAAAGGGGAAGGACCAGACATTGATGTAAACCTTCCAGCAGCAGAAGTGGATATTTCTGGGCCTAAGGTAGATATTGATGCTCCTGAATTGGACCTTGAAGGTCCAGAAGGCAAGCTCAGAGGTCCCAAATTCAAGATGCCCGAGATGCATTTCAAAGCCCCTAAAATCTCAATGCCTGACTTTGACCTGAACCTGAAAGGGCCTAAAGTGAAGGGAGACATGGATGTTTCTTTGCCCAAAGTGGAGGGAGATCTGAAAGGGCCGGAGGTGGATATCAAAGGCCCCAAACTGGACATTGATGTCCCTGATGTGGACCTGGAAGGCCCAGAGGGAAAGCTGAAGGGTCCCAAATTCAAGATGCCAGAAATGCACATCAAGGCCCCTAAAATTTCCATGCCCGATGTCGATTTCAATCTGAAAGGCCCAAAACTAAAAGGAGATCTGGATGTGTCTGTTCCAAAGATACAGGGTGACCTGAAGGGGCCTGAGATTGATTTAGAAGGACCCAAACTGGACATCGATGCCCCAGACATGGATATACAGGGCCCAGAAGGGAAATTTAAAATGCCCAAATTCAAAATGCCCAAATTTGGGATGCCTGGGTTCAAAGGAGAAGGGCCAGACATGGACATAAACCTCCCGAAAGGGGAGGTTGACATTTCAGGCCCCAAAGTAGACATTGAAGGTCCTGATTTGGAAATTGAAGGCCCTGAAGGAAAGCTCAAAGGTCCCAAGTTCAAGATGCCTGAGATGCACATCAAGGCCCAAAAGATCTCCATGCCTGATGTTGATTTGAATTTGAAGGGGCCGAAGTTGAAGGGAGACATGGATGTTTCTGTTCCAAAAATAGAGGGTGAGCTGAAGGGTCCAGAGTTTGACATCAAAGGCCCCAGAATTGATATTGATACTCCCGATGTGGATCTTCACGGCCCTGAAGGTAAACTCAAAATGCCCAAATTCAAAATGCCCAAATTTGGGATGCCTGGGTTCAAAGGAGAAGGAGATGTGGATGTAAGCCTCCCGAAAGGGGAGATTGACATTTCAGGTCCCAAGGTGGACCTTGAAGGTCCTCATTTGGACATTGAAGGGCCAGAAGGGAAGTTGAAGGGTCCCAAATTGAAGAAACCTGAAATGCATTTTAATGTGCCTAAAATCTCCATGCCTGATATTGACTTGAATTTGAAAGGACCCAAAATGAAGGGTGATGTTGATGTTTCTCTTCCTAAATTGGAAGGTGATTTGAAAGGTCCTAACATTGAAGTCAAAGGACCAGAGATCGATCTCGAGACACCAAAACTTGAAATAGAAGGAAAACCTAAAAAGTCAAGATTTAAGCTTCCTAAATTCAGTTTCTCTGGCCCTAAAGTTCAAACTCCTGACGTGGATGTGAAGGTAAAGAAACCGGATATTGATGTGTCCGGTCCAAAGGTGGACATTAGTGCTCCTGATGTTGACGTTCACGCAAAATCCAAAGGATCTAAATTCAAAATGCCTTTTCTGAGTATTTCATCCCCTAAAATGTCCATGCCAGATGTGGAATTAAATCTGAAGGGGCCTAAACTGAAAGGAGACTTGGATGTTTCTAGCCCGAAGCTGGAAGGGGAACTGAAGTGTCCTGAAGTTGATATCAAAGGTCCCAAACTGGACATTGATGCACCAGATGTTGATATTCATGGGCCTGAAGGAAAACTCAAAATGCCCAAATTAAAAATGCCCAAATTTGGCATGTCTGGCTTCAAAGGGGAGGCAGATGTGGATGTGAAACTTCCCAAGGCGGATGTCGACATTTCAGGTCCTAAGGTAGACATTGAAGCCCCCGACTTGAACATTGAAGGGCCAGAGGGAAAACTGAAAGGGCCCAAATTCAAGATGCCTGACATGCACATTGGTGTTCCTAAAATCTCCATGCCAGATATTGACTTGAATTTGAAAGGTCCTAAGTTGAAGGGAGATGTGGATGTGTCTGCTCCTAAGATAGAAGGTGGTTTGAAGGGGCCAGAAGTGGATATCAAAGGCCCAAAGCTGGACATAGATGCCCCTGATTTGAATATTGAAGGACCAGAGGGAAAACTGAAAGGCCCAAAATTTAAGATGCCAGAGATGAATATCAAGGCACCAAAAATCTCCATGCCTGACTTCGATCTCAATTTGAAAGGTCCCAAGCTGAAAGGGGATGTGGATCTGGACTTGTCTGTTCCAAAGGTAGAAGGTGACTTGAAAGGACCAGAGTTTGATATTAAGGGCCCCAAAGTGGACATAGAAGCTCCAGGACTTGATATCGAAGGTCCTGAGGGAAAATGGAAAAGTCCAAAATTTAAGATGCCTGAAATGAACATCAAGGCCCCCAAAATCTCCATGCCTGACTTTGACTTAAATCTGAAGGGCCCTAAACTGAAGGGAGACATGGATGTTTCTGCTCCTAAGTTGGAAGGGGATTTAAAAGGTCCTGAAATTGATATCAAAGGCCCCAAATTGGACATCGATGCCCCAGACATTGACATTCATGGCCCTGGAGGAAAACTGAAAATGCCCAAAATGAAGATGCCTAAATTCGGCGTGCCTGGGTTCAAAGGGGAAGGCCCCGATGTGGACGTCACTCTTCCGAAGGGAGAGTTTGAGATCTCGGGCCCTAAGGTAGATATTGATGCCCCAGATTTGAGTCTTGAAGGACCAGAAGGGAAGCTGAAAGGCCCCAAATTCAAGATGCCTGAAATGCATATCAAAGCTCCCAAAATCTCTATGCCTGACTTGGATTTGAATTTGAAAGGTCCTAAACTCAAGGGTGACTTGGACGTTTCAGCTCCTAAGATACAAGGGGATTTGAAAGGCCCAGATGTGGACATCAAAGGCCCCAAAGTGGACATAGAGTGCCCTGATGTTGACATTGAGGGTCCGGAAGGAAAACTGAAAGGCCCCAAATTCAAGATGCCCGAGATGCACTTCAAAGCCCCCAAAATCTCGATGCCTGACTTTGACCTGAACCTGAAAGGGCCTAAAGTGAAGGGGGACGTGGATGTTTCTGTGCCCAAAATGGAGGGAGACCTGAAGGGGCCGGAGGTGGATATCAAGGGCCCCAAACTGGACATTGATGTCCCTGATGTGGACTTGGAAGGCCCAGAGGGAAAGCTGAGGGGCCCCAAATTCAAGATGCCTGAGATGCATTTCAAGGCCCCCAAAATCTCCATGCCCGATGTTGATTTGAATTTGAGAGGTCCAAAACTGAAGGGAGATGTTGATGTCTCAGCTCCAAAGATAGAGGGCGACTTGAAGGGGCCTGATTTTGACATCAGAGGCCCCAAAGTGGACATTGATGCCCCAGACGTGGATATTCATGGTCCAGAGGGGAGATTCAAGATGCCCAAGTTTAAGATGCCCAAATTTGGGATGCCTGGGTTCAAAGGGGAAGGTCCAGATGTGGATGTAAGCCTCCCGAAAGCTGACATTGATATTTCTGGTCCCAAAGTAGACATTGAGGGTCCTGAGTTGGATATTGAAGGGCCAGAAGGGAAACTGAAAGGTCCCAAATTTAAGATGCCCGAGATGCACATTAAGGCTCCCAAAATCTCCATGCCTGATGTTGATTTGAATTTGAAAGGCCCTAAACTGAAGGGAGATGTGGATGTTTCACTTCCCAAATTGGAGGGAGATTTGAAAGGGCCTGATGTGGATATCAGTGTTCCTGACATGGACATTGAGGGTCCAGATGGAAAACTGAAGGGTCCCAAATTTAAGATGCCTGACATTAATATGCCTAAAATCTCTATGCCTGATTTTGACTTGAATTTGAAAGGCCCTAAATTGAAAGGGGATGTTGACATTTCTGTTCCAAAGGTTGAAGGGGATTTGAAAGGCCCCGACATTGACTTTAAAGGCCCCAAATTGGACATTGATGCTCCCAGCATTGACATAGAAGGGCCAGAAGGGAAACTGAAAGGTCCCAAATTTAAGATGCCTGAAATGCATGTCAAGGCCCCCAAAATGTCGATGCCTGACATCGACTTCAATCTGAAGGGCCCTAAACTGAAGGGAGACATGGATGTTTCTGCTCCTAAGTTGGAAGGGGATTTGAAAGGGCCTGAAATTGATATCAAAGGCCCCACATTGGACATCGATGCCCCAGACATTGACATTCATGGCCCTGCAGGAAAACTGAAAATGCCCAAAATGAAGATGCCTAAATTCGGCGTGCCTGGGTTCAAAGGGGAAGGCCCAGATGTGGACGTCAGTCTTCCGAAGGGAGAGTTTGAGATCTCAGGTCCTAAGGTAGACATCAATGCCCCAGATTTGAGTCTTGAAGGGCCAGAAGGCAAGCTGAAAGGCCCCAAATTCAAGAAGCCTGAGATGCATGTCAGTGTTCCCAAGATCTCCATGCCAGAAATTGACTTGAATTTAAAAGGCCATAAAATGAAAGGAGAATTTGATGCGTCTGTTCCAAAGATCGAAGGGAATTTGAAAGGTCCTGATGTTGATATTAGAGGCCCAGAGTTTGGTCTGAAGGGTCCTGATCTCGACATTGAATGTCCAGATGTGAATCTTGAGGGTCCAGAGGCAAATGTCAAACTTCCCAAGTTTAAGAAACCAAAATTTGGGTTTGGATTAAGGAGTCCTAAAGCAGAAGTGAAACCTCCAGCGGTAGAGATTGACCTCCCAGAAGGTGATCTGAATGTGGAGTCTCCCGACATTAGCATTTCGGCAAAAGGAAAGAAAAGCAAATTCAAAATGCCTAAGCTTCATATGAGCGGCCCGAAGGTGAAAGGAAAGAAGGGTGGGTTTGATGTGAGCGTTCCCGGCGGTGAGCTCGACTTGAAATCTCCTGACGTCGACGTGAATGTCACTAGTCCAGATGTAGCCATCAAAGGCGATGTGAATGTCAAAGCTCCTAAAGGGAAGAAACCTGTGTTTGGAAAATTTCCCTTTCCAGACGTCGAGTTTGACATCCGGTCATCCAAGTTCAAAGGCGACGTTTCTGCAACGGTCCCCAAAATAGAAGGGGAGCTTAAAACCCCAGGTTTGGATGTGGCAGCCCCCAGCCTCAGTGGAAAGCTCCCTGATGTTAGCCTGGATGTCTCAGCACCAGGCATCGAAGGAAGCATGAACCTTCCTTCGGCTGACTTCAGTGCTGAAGGGGTCAATGCAAAGCTGAAGGGACCCAAGGTGACCATGCCATCGGGAAACCTTTCGATGCCCCAAGTCTCTGGACCTGGTTTTGATGTAAACTTGAAAGGACCAAAAATCAAGGGAGACCTGGATATGTCAGGTGGCATCAGCGGCCCAACCGTGGGCGTGGATGCCCCAGACGTTGACATTGGAGGGAAGCTTAAAATGCCAAAGTTGAAATCTCCTGCTTTGGAGGGACCTCATGTTGACCTGGGCATGAAAGGAGATATTGGATTTTCAGGTCCGCACATCAGAGGGGGCATGAAAGCCCCAGACATGGATATTAATCTCAGTGCCCCAGACCTTGATATCAAAGGGCCTACAGTGAAAATGCCTTCTGTTGATATTTCTGCACCAGACTTGGATGTAAATTTGAAAGGACCAAAGTTGAAAGGTGATTTTACTGCATCCGGAGACATCAAGTCCCCCCAGGTGTCTGTAGACACCCCAGATGTCAACATAGGAGGTCCAGGAGCTACAATTAAACTTCCTTCCCTTAAACTCCCCCAATTCGGCATCTCCAGCCCTCACGTTGAGGGGTCAGACCTGGGCATGCATATTGAAGGACCACAAATAAAAGGAGACATGAAAGGCTCAGGGATTGGCATGGGGTTGGAGGGGCCAGCAGCAGAATTGAAGGGGCCTACATTCAAAATGCAGCCCTTAAACGGCTCTGGACCTGACCTTGACTTTGACTTGAAAGGACCAAAGCTGAAGGGCGACATTGGGGTCACTGGAGGTATTAGTGGCCCCAAATTTGGAGTGCAGGCACCAGAGGTCAGCCTGAAGGGTGCAGAGGGGAGTATGGGAGGTCTGAGAATGAACCTGCCCACACGTGAGATTTCGGGTTCCTACGATGGGAAAGTTTCCGGAGTGGGGCTTCATGCCGATGCCCCCGATGTCCATGTGAAAGGTCCCGCGTTCGACATGTCCATGCCAAAAGTGTCTGGGCCAGACTTTGATGTCAATTTGAAAGGGCCTAGAATCAAAGGAGGGGTTGGTATTTCTGGACCAAAGGTGGAAGGTGAGCTGAGAGGTCCCACGGTAGGCATCAGAGGCCCCAGCGCAGAGGTGAGCGTCCCCCAGGGCCACGTAGGGAGCGCATTAGGGAAAGTGTCATTCCCCAAGATGAGAATGCCCAAATTTGCATTTTCAGAGCCTGAGCTGGCGGGGCGGGAAGTGGGGGTGGATGTCGAGTTCCCTCAGGCGGATCCCAGCCTTCACGTGGGTGCTGTAGACGTGGAGTTTGACGACCCAGACATTAAACTGAAGAAATCCAAAATTAAGATGCCCAAATTCAATTTTTCCAAGCCAAAGGGCAAAGGTGTCAGCGTGGCCTCCCCGGAGGCCTCGGTGTCCGTCTCAGGGCCGAAGGGCGAACTGAAATCCTCCAAGGCGAGTCTGGGCTCGATGGAGGTGGAGCTGGAAGGAGGGGACGTGGCGGCCACTTCCCCCAAAGGGAAGTTCTCGTTATTTAAAAGCAAGAAGCCGCGCCACCGGTCGTCCTCGTTCAGCGACGAACATTCCTCCCATTCCACCCCCACGGGCACGTTGGAGCTAGAGGCCAGCGCGGGGGTCGAGAAGGGGAAGCAGGGCAAGCTGAAATTCGGGACATTCGGCGGCATCGGGTCGAAAACCAAAGGGTCTTACGAGGTCACAGGAAGTGACGACGAGGCAGGGAAGGGGCAGGCGGGCGGCAAGGCCCGGCTCTCGTCCTCCTCGAGCAACGACAGCGGGACGAAGGTGGGGATACGGCTGCCTTCGATAGAGCTGACGGTGGCGAAGAAGAAGGAGTGACATGTCTGTGTACATAGGCCTGTATATATCCTCTGTGTGTTTGTATATAAACCCCATCGCTTGGGATACTTTCGAGCTCAGCAATAACGGGAGCGATGCCTGGGTGGGAGGCTGGATTGCACGTAGTGGAAGGGGCTGCAGCAGGAGTGGGGGGCGGACGCACAGCTCTGCCCCCCACGCATTGGAGAGCTTCCTTGTGCTCGAGACTTCAGCGTGCGCCTTCAATGCTGAGAGCTTCAGTTTACTAGCAAGCTATATTTTGATATCGTTTTCCTTTTACTGAATATTTTCAGTGTTGGCTTATGGAAAGAACGTTTCCATTTTAATTACCTTCTGGCTGAAATTTCTATCATGAGAAAAGGATCTAGGAAAAACACTGTAAAATATATAGACACGACGGAGAGGTGTCAGTGTCGCAGCTGATTTGGGGGTCCGAAGCAAAAAGGTTCCTTCTCACCGTGGCACTGGCGGCGGGCGGGACGTCTAATCAAGCTGGTAGCCATATCCACAGATTAATTGGAGAATACTGAGCTGGGGGTTGCTTATACCTGGTGTTGAAAGTAGAACTTACTGGTGGAAAGTAGAACTGACCTCTGGAAAACTAACCGCGTGTACGTTGGGGCTGGGTTTCTTGACACCCTCTTAGTCGTCTCTGTATGTTTGTCGCGTTATTTTTTTGTACTATAAGAGAGGACTTTTCTTCGCTGTGGGGCAAGCCATCTGCAGTGGCCACTTTCCTGAGGCTTGTTATCATTTCTCTTAACAAATGTATCCTAACGGAGGAAAACAAAACACAACAACCCCCCCTCTTTCAGCACTTTAATGGCAAATTAACGGAGAATGTAAGAAGATTGATCTTGTAAAATGCAAATAAACTGTTTATTAACCTCACCCTGCTGGTCTGGAGTGCTTGGGGGCGGTCAAAAGGGCCCCTCCCATCCCAGTTCTTCCTCCGGGGCAGGCTGGAGAGGTCCCTGCAGGTAGGGTCAAGAGGGGAACAACCCCTAGTGCCTGCAAAACCCAGGAGCAATAAAGGACGGATGCAGCTAGCTCGGGGGGGCAGGGACTTAGGGCAGAGATGCAGCCACCTCTGGGGCCTGTTTCATTACAGTTGGACCTGTTTCTCAGATGCAGCTGGTTCTGGGGTGAAGCAGGTCGGGGGCTGTTATCGGGGGGGCCCACTGTGGCAGGGCTGTTCTTTGGGTGTCCCAGGGGGGCGGGGCAGGAACTCCATAGGGTCCAATGGGGGGGGGGGCTGATTTCTCTCAGGCATGTGGCCTGCCCTTGGTGGGTGTGGTTAGGCTTGGAGGGGACCCAATAGGGGTGGTGATGGGCATGGCTTCTGCTAAGTGGGGTAGGGATCTCTACGGACCCAATCCAGGGAGAGGGGTGTGGCCTGTCTCTTGTGGGTGTGGTCTGCCCTATGGGGTGGGTGGTCTTTAGGGGGTAATCCCAAGGGCAGGTGGGGGATGGTCCTACCTGGGGGTGGGGCCTGTCCCTGGCAGCAGGACTGTCACTGGTGGTGGGGGGGGGGGGCGGGCCCCCCTCCCCCCTGGGCGT